CAACCATATTCCTTATTTGTCTAACACTCCCCCTCAAGTTGGAGAGTGGATGTCAAGAACTCCCAACTTGCGTAACATACCCGAAAACTTTTCTTTCCCAAGAGGTTTGGTAAACAAGTCTGCCAACTGTTGTGCCGTACCCACATGCTTGGTCTCTATTGTGCCATCTACAATCTTATCTCGTATAAAGTGACAATACATCTCAATGTGACGAGTTCGTTCATGAAAAACAGGATTGGCAGCTATATGTAACGCTGCTTGATTATCACAAAATAAAATGGAAGGACCATCCAAAGGAATGTTCAAATCCTTCAACAAAAAACGAAGCCAAACTATCTCGCAACAAGCACCTGCCATGGCCCTATATTCTGCCTCTGCTGAAGAGAGCGAAACGGTTTTCTGTCGTTTTGTCCGCCAAGAAATCAAAGAACCGCCCAAGAATACACAATACCCAGTAGTCGAACGGCGAGTGATAGGGCAACCTGCCCAATCAGAATCACAAAACGCAGTTAACTTGGTCTGGTTGTCAGAACGAAATAATAAACCTTGACATGGAGTAGCCTTCAAATAACGAACAATACGAAGCGCAGCATCCATATGAGATATCCTTGGCTCGTGCATAAAACGGCTTAGAACATGCACAGAATAGGTGATATCCGGCTGAGTGATAGTGAGATATATTAACCGACCTACTAATCGTCGATACTTTTCAGGATCCTTGAGAAGTTCTCCTTTATCAGATAATTTTGTGTCATCCATAGGAAAAGCAATGGGTCGTGCTCCCAAAAAACCATAGTCCTTGAGAATCTCTAATGCATACTTGCGTTGAGAAATATAAATCCCTTGTTTGGAACGAGAAACCTCAATACCCAAAAAATATTTTATATCACCAAGGTCTTTTATCCGAAAATGATCACGGAGAAAAGACTTCAGAGAATTAATGGCACTAGCATCATTGCCTGTAATCACAATATCATCCACATAAATGAGCAAAGCTGTGAAAGAAATACCAGACTTTTTAGTGAACAATGAATAGTCAGCTTTGGATTGTTGAAAACCGGCAGAAATGATGGCACTAGTGAATTTGGCAAACCATTGGCGAGAAGCCTGCTTAAGACCATAAAGTGACTTGTGAAGGCGACACACAAGATTCTCCCCCTGTCGCCGAAGACCAGGAGGAGGAGACATATAGATTTCTTCATGTAAGTCACCATGTAAGAAAGCATTATTAACATCAAGCTGATGAAGAGACCAAGACTGACTAGCAGCAAGAGCAAGAAGACAACGCACCGTAATCATCTTAGCAGTAGGAGAAAAAGTGTCATGATAATCAATACCTTCAGCCTGAGTGAAGCCTTTAGCAACCAAACGAGCTTTGTAGCGGTCAATAGAGCCGTCGGAATTGTGCTTGAGTTTGTACACCCACTTACAACCAATGGGAATTTTGCCAGGGGGCAAGGAAGTTAAAGTCCAAGTACCATTAGCATGTAAAGCTTGAAGCTCCTCAGTCATAGCACGTTGCCAATTGGGGTCAGTGGCAGCCTCGGCAAAGGAGGAAGGCTCCACAGTCCGACTGACAGAGTTAATGTAAGAAAAATGCCTGGGAGAGTAACGGTGATAAGAGAGAAAATTACAAAGTGGATATCGCGTACCTTGTGTAGAACCGGGTTGCGAAGTCGAAGATGGGTGGGATGGCAGAATCACCTGCGAGCAAACGTAGTCTTTTAAATAGGATGGAGGTTTATGGGCACGGGAAGAGGTGCGGGGAAGGGGAGGAACGGGTAATGGGGCAGCAAGGAAATCTGTGGGAGGCGTGGAAGGGGAGGAAGGTGGAGGAGGGTGAGGCGTTGGGGCAGGAAGGGGTGGGTTATATGTAAAGTCCAGAGGGGGTGGGATGGGTAGGGTAGGCGAAGAGGAAGGGATAGGAGGGTGAGAAACGGCATAAGGGAAAGTAGTTTCGTGAAAGATGACGTCTCGACTAGTGAAAATGCGGTGATTGTCGAGATCGTAAAGGGTATAGGCCTTTTGTTCATGAGGATAACCGAGAAAAATGCAACGATGAGCCCGAGGGGAAAATTTGGTGGTGGGAGTGACAGAGGTGGCATATGCCAGACAACCAAAGACGCGGAAGTGATCATAAGATGGGGTTTTCGAAAAGAGAACCTCAAATGAGGATTTATGATGGAGAAGACGGGTAGGGAGACGATTGATGAGATAAGTAGCGGTGAGAACACATTCCCCCCAAAACTTGATAGGAAGATGAGATTGAAAACGAAGGGCGCGAGCGGTTTCAAGAAGATGACGATGTTTTCTTTCAACAACGCCATTTTGTTGGGGGGTATAAACACAAGAAGTTTGTAAAAGCACTCCATGATCAGAGAAAAAACTACGAAGAGATAAAAATTCACCACCATTGTCAGTACGAATGCATTGGATGGTAGTGCGGAATTGGGTAGTGACATAAGCAAAAAAATCCTTAATTAATTGTTGAGTGTCAGATTTATGTTTCATGAGGAAGACCCACGTAAAGCGAGAAAAATCATCCACAATGGTTAAGAAATAATGAGCACCAGAAAGAGAAGATTGACGATTCGGGCCCCAAATATCACAATGAATTAAAGCAAAAGGGAAAGTTGATGAAATTGAACTCAAAAGAAAAGGTTGACGAGTTTGCTTTGCCAACGGACAAACATCACAAATATGACTAGAATCAAAAGTACAATTAAGAGAGCTAGATGCTAAAGCTTGCAAACGAGTGGAGGAGGGGTGACCTAGACGCCTATGCCAGAGGGAGGAGGGGATGGTAATGATGTTGCAGAGAGGTTGACGGGTGGGGAGAGAAGAGGTAAGGGCCACAAGGTAATACAGATCGCCACGTCGCTTACCCATACCAATCATCGCCTTCGAAACCAAGTCCTGCAAAACACACCAAGAAGGAAAGAAGGTTATGGAACACGATAATCCATCTGTAAGTTTACCAACCGATAAAAGGTCCACTCGGAAATTAGGGACACATAAAACATCCTTCAAAGTAACTGATGAATTTAAAGGAAGAGTGCCGGTAAAAGTAATGGGAGCGGAAGCACCACTAGGCAAAGAAACAGGCGGCAAATGTGAAGGAGAACGATTAACCAAACATGAAGCGGAAGAAGTAATATGATCCGTAGCACCACTGTCAAGAATCCATTGACCATGACGAGAGGTGACAGGTAACAAACCTTGGGCAAAATCAGTAGTGAGCACGGCATTGGCCTGAGGAGGGGTGGTGGTGTCACGTAGAGCAGCTAGAACACGGGAGTGCTGCTCGGCAGAGAGGTCAGGCATGGCAAGCTGCAAGTCATGCAAAGTGGGCTGGGCCCCGTGCACTTGGTGGGTCGCTGGAGTAGAAGAGGAGGCAGGGGCCTGGGTGCCTTGCACGTGATGGGCCTGGGTGAAATTATGGGGCCGGGAAGCAGAAAACCGTGGCTGCCGGGGAGGACTGGAAGGTGCATGGCTGCGGGAAGAACTGGAAGCAGTGGCACGGCGCGGTGGTCGCCACGGTTGGCCATGGAGGGGATGGCCAACGGGATAGCCATGAAGTTTATGGCAGGTGTCTCGGGTATGATAATCAAAATTGCAGTAGGTGCAGTGGAGGGGAGGACGAGCAGAGGAGGGACGGGACGGGCCACGAACAGCCATGGCAGCAGGTTGATCGACAGAGCGGAGGACGCCCAGGGAGCGTTGTTTTTCAGCTTGAGACACCGAGGAACAGGCCTGACGAACAGTGGGAAGGGGATTCATTAAAAGAATCTGGTCACGAACAGCAGCAAAGGATTCGTTGAGGCCCATTAAAAATTGCATGAGTTGTTGACGGTCATGCTTGGCGTTGCAAGAACATGTGCAGCCATCATTATAAGAAGCAAGCTCATCCCAGAGAGCTTTCAGGCGAGTAAAATAGGCGGAGATAGAAGAAGAACCTTGAGAAATTGTAGCAAGTTCCCGGTTGAGTTGGAAGATGCGTGGAGCATTACTCTGAGAGAAGCGTTCGCGAAGATCATCCCATACAGCTTGGACAGAGGTGGAAAAAAGCACAGATTCTTGAAGGTCAGGTTCCAAGGAATGCAGAAGCCAAGAGAGAATCATGTCATTGCAACGACGCCAAGCCGCGTGAGCATCAGGGTTGTCGGAGGATGAAGGTTCTTGGATATTGCCAGTGATGAAACCAAGTTTATTCTTGGCACTCAAGGAAAGCTGCATGCCACGGGCCCAGGATGTGTAGTTATCACCATTCAACTTCTTGGATACAAGGACAAGATTCGGGTGGTCGGAATGATGAAGGGAAAAAACACCATCGGAAGAAGAAGAGTCAGCCATGGGAACGGCAGAGAAAGCTGCCGAAAAAAAAATTAGGGCTAGGGTTATAAACCTGCTCTGGATACCATATAGAAAAAGGTATGTAGGCTAAAAATTATATTTGTTATTGATACATGAATGTGGAAAAATGGAAGAGAATGCAAATGGAAGAGAATGCTTATGGAAGAGAATGCAAATGGAAGAGAATGCTTAATTTTTTCTCATTGTGTTTCTCTACAAGATTACAAGGATATATATACATGATACAAGTGTGTAGGTAGGACAAGGTAGCCGTCCTAGTGTGTAGGTAGGACGGCTATAGAGGACAAGGTAGCCGTCCTAGTGTGTAGGTAGGACAAGGTAGGACGGCTTGACGGCTGTAGGACGGCTAGTGTGTAGGTAGGACAAGGTAGGACGGCTGTAGGACGGCTTATTCTTCCAATAATAATATTATATACAATTACACAAGGACTCCAACCATATTCCTTATTTGTCTAACAGTATTCATATTCACAGTTTGTGCTTTCACCACGAGATTGAGAACGAGAAAGATTGAGAGAGAACATCAGAAACCGGGATCTTTTCTGCCTTCTTCTTCTTCTTCTTTCCCGGGATCTTTTCTTTCGTTTTGCAGTACCAGCTAACCCTTGATAGTTTAATACATGCATATGGCGAGTGGTTCCGGTAATATCCCAGACGATCTGTTAGAGAACATCAGAAACCGCCTCAACACCAAAACCGACGTTTCTAGATTCCGCGCAGTCTGTAAGTTGTGGCGGTCCTCTATTCCTTCCTTCGAGAAGAACCTGCTCCAATTGCCCTCGGAAGTGAACATTGCAGACCCAGACAGCGGCTATGATATTTGCGGATATAGCTTTACCCTCGTCGAGAGTGTAGTCTATCATCTCGCACCTCCCAACGATGATGATCCCCAGAAAAGAGGTTGGTTGATTAATGTCAAACAAGTAGGTCTTGATCAAAAGGGTGAACAACACACTCATCACGTGTTGCATCCGCTCTCCCGCTTATTTCGAGGGCAGCCCAAGTCCTTCCCCAACGTATTCAACTTTATGGAATCTCGGGTATTTGAAGTGGCAATAATGTATAGTCTAGTAGAATATGGTGGGGAGATGCGTGGTGATTTTAAGGTGGCTGCATCCTTGAATCTTGATTTCCCTGCTTTCATGGCAATTGATCTATTCGGAACGTTGTACTACGGAGAGCTAGGTGCTGACGTTGTAGATTGCACCAACTTCCTTCTGAAGTTGGATGACGAATACCGCGATTTTCAAGACGTTATTTTCTTCAAAGGAAGGTTTTGTGCCGTGTGTCGTGACGGGAGAGCAGTGGCGGTTGATTCTTGTCTGAATATGGAAATGATTGCATCTCCATTACCGAATATCGCTTGCCTTGACCACGAGAAGAAGAAGAAGTTGGTGGAGTCGTTGGGAGAGCTGCTTTTAGTTGATATGTATTTGAAGGGAAATCCGTCAGACTATACATTCGAGATTTTTTACGCTCAAGCTCACGAGAAGCAATGGGTTAAGCTAGAGGCGCAAGCTCTGGATGATCGAATATTGGTGCTAGGGGATGACGGCTGCTTCTCTCTTTCTTGGTTTCAGGGAGCCTGTGAGCAAGAGTTATCCCCCGAAAGCGGCTTTCTATTCTAGGAGGGAAGTGGGCTTCATTCAATGGAATGCCTCGTTGGTTTAGCGAAAAAGGTAGTTTACTTGCTTAGTGCTTGCGCTAAGGGCTTATACCCAAAAAGTATGACACGCACTATATGTAATGGGACGGACTGGATGAAAGATTTCCCTGGAGTGGAAGGGAGATGTATTTATTTCCACGAGCCTCATCATAGCAAGAGTTACGAGTTCCATCGGTTAAGAAGCATATTAAGCGATATTGCAGTGTACAGCTTGGATTCTGGCCGTGTCTCGCGGTTAGCAGATTTTCCGAGTTCGAACATCATCTTTTGCCCACCCCCAACCTGGACGTGGCCTAATATGCCAGAGTTGTCTTGCAGACGTGATCAAGGGGAAGACTCCGGATCAAGGGCGAGGAAGAGGAGGAAGATCAAGGCCGTCGTGAGATGCCGTAATGGGCGTTGAATAAGTTCTCGATCGGTGGTGTTTCTCTTTTACATACCATGTATTCTGTTCTAGCTCGATGACTTCTTATGATTCTCTGTTTGAACTTTGTAGTAGTTTTTGTAACTTATACATCTCATTGTCTTGTGTGTTTCTGTTTTCCGTTTCCAAGTTGGTGTTTATGATGATCGATTACCGAAAAATATGAAGAAAAACGAACTCGAAATTGAGATCTTAGCAGAGCAAAAGGTTGCTGAAACTGCATAATAATTTCAATAATTCACTTGATCCTATATTACACCTTCATTCTTATCTGCAATCTAGCAGAGGTACAATGGTTTCAATCAAGGTACAGATGTATTAGCTTATCTTAGCCATACAACACATCATGGACGAAGCCAGAGATCAATATGAACGGGACCATTCTCAAACAACAAAGTTATAAATTAAAAAACTCAAGAATTTACTAAACAAAACACTTATATATTAATTTATAAGGTTTTTTTTATTACTAATACCATCAAATATCTTTATAAAAATAAACATGTTATTGTTCATCTATTGATCTATAACCCAACTTCTCAATTGATTCTTAAAAAATTCCCTAACAGTATGTTTGGATGAGGGAAATAAACATGAAATTTTGGTAAAAGTTGGAATTTATAAATTGACAGGCACCAATTCTCTTGTTTGGATTCATAAACATAGAAATTTAGAATTTCCGCATGGAAAAAAAACTTGGAATTTGGGACCACCAAATCCCAAGTTCAAATTCCATGTAAATAGGTGTCATTTCTCAATTTCTATGATTGAGAATTTAAAAATAACAAATTCCGTATTCAATTCCATTGTTAGTTTAGGTTAACCAAACAAGAAAATTTACAAATTCTAGAAAATAAAATCTCGTCATTTCAATTTTCGTCATTTTTAAATTCCTTAATAATCTTAAATTTCTTCACTCAAACATAGTGTAACTGAAAAGTGAAAACACTCTCTCACGTAAGATTACCATGTGCATTATGAGCTTTTTTTCTTTTAAATAAAATAAAATAAAAAATGGGGGCGAATGGCCCCAAAGTGGCTCCGCCCATGCAACACATCACTAATATAAGACAAATAACTAGAACATGCAATTCCAACTGAATCATTAGTATAGTGGAGACTAAGACCAAATTAATGACATGATTAAGACCAAACGACATGCTTAGGGTTTGTGGTTTGAGATTGTGGTGCTTTCAAAAGAAGCAACTTATTAAATAATTTAAAACATTAAATGTGTTTGGTAAAACAAAAAAAAAAAAAAATAAAAAAAAAAACTGCTATCAATGAAAGTAAAAAAAACATAAAAGCAGAAGCAAGGTTACTATGCTTCTAAAAAGGTTTTTTTTTTTTTTTTTTTTTTTTTTTTTTTTTTTTTTAACAAAACACAGTAATCAATGCTCATTTAGTGAACTTTTCAAATGGCAAGTATAACTCTGTTTTACAAAATTACAATCTTTGCCCCCTGCATTATTCTCTTTAACCATTATTATATCACATTAAATACTATATCCTTTTTAGTCGTTAAAATGACAGCCCGTCCCGGACTTTTCGTACCATAGAGGTGAAATGACGATTTTGCCCCTAATGGATAATTGTTGTTTGTGTGGTTGTTTTGAGTTCTTGGTTGGTTGCATCCCAACCACACATCCATCATCATCCTCACCCATCTCTCCTATTCTCCCTATCTGTCCCGAGACCCTCTCTCTATCCCTTTCTTATCCTTTTCGTACGGACACCACCCAAAACCCTTGAAATCTTCACAGATCGAGGAAACAAGTTACACAGTTGTGCTCGTGAGGTCCTTAGGAGTTCAACCATACCCATTTCAGGTAAGAATACCTTCGTTTTCACGTCGAACTCGAGATTCCCGATTTTGGTCACTGTTCATGCACACGTTAATTCTTGTGTTTTTGGGAATTTCAAGCTTGTAGGAAGCTCGGTGAGGTCCTTATGAGGCTCGGGGTGGTTCGTTTGAAGGTTTTGGACGTCGGGATCGTGAGTTGCAGGTTTGGCCGGAGTTTGGCCGGAGAAGATGACAGAATATTCCATCAGTTTGGACAGAATGTTCCTAACGGCGTTAACGGAATCCGTCAGAGTTAACGGAATATTCATGACGGCGTTAACTGACGCCGTCAGTGTGCCAGGCACGTGCCTGCGCGTGGGCGGCACGTGTGGCCGTGCCTTGGCCGGCGCGTGGGGGCGCGTGCGGTGTCGAAAAATTATTTTAAAAATATGGGGATGTTCCTGAGGTTGAGTAGATCACGTTGGTGTATTCATACACCCTATTTGAGCATTTTATGAGAAGTTATTTCGTAAGGTTGGTTATGTGCTTTAAAATTTACGTATTTATAGTTGTTTCGCATATAGGTGAGACCTATCTCGAGGACTAGCGCGGTCACTAGAGGCAAGGAGGTTACGACCCTTCTACATACCAGTGAGTGGGCTTTTGGTTTTTCATATATACCTATATACTTATGTTTTTTCCCAGAAAGTGAAATGAAACGTTTATACGCTTTTATGCCATGCATTATGTTTACCCATTTAATTATGCATTATTAGTTGCATGTATACATATGTTTGGTGTTGCGGACGCACAGGTAAGTACCAGGTAAGTTATGATTTATGTTTATGTTTAGTAGTGATTTGAGATGCATAGAGAGCTTATAACTTGCACCCCCAGTGTTAGTGCTCCCACCCAGAGTTGGGCACAGTCCTTCACGTGATGTTCACCTCCCGCACCACACGCTCACCTTGGATCCAAGTTAGGTGCACAGTCCTATCGTACAGACCACTTTAGGTGGTTCCGACTCGTAGGTGACCCGCGATTATTCGCCCAGTCTTCACGTGATCGTAGCACTTGAGCGTACTTATTATACACCCAGTCCTGTCGTACAAACCAATTTAGGTGGTTCCGACTCGTGTGCAGGTGTAGTTAGTAAGTTGGAGATTTGAGCTCTAGATTCAGCCGTACAGGTCAAGTTAGGTGACTCCGACTGACAGATTACATGGCATTGTTTGACATTACCTGAGTACTTGCATTTTATTTCGAGGCATGTGGCATGGCATATTTCCGAGCATGATTTATATATATGTATATATGTATATATTATATTTTCTGGGAAGTATACAGGTTTTACGGCGAGGGGTTAGAACTTTGTTTATGAAATGATTTTCGAAAAGCTTTGTTTTTGCCCACTCATGCTTTCTGTTTTGCGCCCCTCCAAGTTCTAGTTGGCTAGCACTTTTGGTGGCTCCCCAGAGGATTTTCTCGGCTTATCTGACAGATTATCACCAGTGTAGGACCGCCTTTGGGTGTGTTTATTTAGTATTGTTTCTCCCGGACTGCACTAGGTCTTATGTGCTCTGAACTTGGATTTTCACACTTACGCTTGCACATGTATGTTATTACTTTGTGTACAGCTGGTTTTTATTTATTCGTACTTTTATTATTATTTATTAACTTCCGCACTGTGCACATGGTTACGTCACTTCCATGTGACGGCCAGCATGCCCTGATCTCGGTCAGGGTGTGTCAGTTAACATATCCAAAACAATTTATGTAAAAATTTATCAAACACTCAAATACTACTTTTTATATTAAAAGCACTTTTACAAAAAAAAAAAGGGTTTAGCAAACTCTTAACAACTTTATTTTATAACTATTTATTCTCACAACATAGCAGAAACATTTTTTTTTAAACACATCAATATCAAACTAACCCTTACACTATGTTTGGATGAGGGAAATAAACTTGGAATTTGGATAAAAATTAGAATTTATAAATTGACATGCACCAATTCCCTTGTTGGATTCATAAATATAGAAATTTAGAATTTCCGCGTGGAAAAAAACTTGGAATTTGGGACCTCCAATTTCCAAGTTTAAATTCCATGTAAATATGTGTCATTTCCCAATTTCTATGAATGAGAGTTTAAAAATAAAAAATTTCATATTCAATTCCATTATTTTTTTAGGTTTACCAAATAAGAAAATTCACAAATTCTAGAAAATAAAATCTCATCTTTTCAATTTCCGTCATTTTAAAATTTCTTCATCCAAACATAGTATTAACATCATGGTTACTGTGTTGCTATGTAGATGTTCTCGAATCCAGAGCATACAATATTTGCCTTCGAACATTTTTTTTTTTAAATTTATTTATTAACCTAAATAAAAATTGCTAAAACAGTTAATTTTGTACTCTTGTTTTACCAAAGAGCCCACGAGTAGAAACAAAAATTATGCTATAAATTGTTATAATTTTTTTATTTCATTTGAGTCTTTTTCAGTTTTTCCAGTCACAAAATTGGACAAAAATAAATACACAATCACCACTAAAAGATGAACAAGAAATGGGACAAGAACTCCATATTCCACATACAAGACAAGTTCCCTCATGAGCCCTTAGTTTGTAGACAGGTTTATTTTGATTAGCAGCAAATAGCTCGAAAACATGAAGTAGTGATGCAGTGCATCAAACTGAAATTCACTGAGCTCTCATATTTAAATGGCTAATTTATATTTTAGTAATTTTGTGTTTTGGTAAGTTGTGTTTTAATTATGTATTTGGGTTGAGATTTGATGATTATCATATATAAAGTTTAAGTAGACTAGGAAGTTGTGTTAGTATTTAATTAGGCAGTTGGCTAGACCTTTTAAAATGCTGGAATTCTATCATTCAGTACTACGGTCTGGTGGTATTCCTCTTTATCTGGAAGTGAGAGGTCTTAGGTTTGAATCTCGTGGATGACGAATTCGATACCAAATTAAGTTGCCCATTATGTGTATTGTACTAAAAAAAAAAAAAAAAAGCTAGAATTCTGGAGGTTGGGGGAGATTATGTATTTGAATGAATTTATGAACAGAGTTTGGCACCTTGAGACCGTCAAAAGAGGATTGGAGGAGGTTCTCCGCTTCTGTCAGAACCTGCACTGAGGGTGTGCAAGTGATGCCACTACACAGAGCCAACAATTCGCAAGACTCCCGATTTATGATTTTATTTTTCCTTTATGTATAATATATAGATTAAATCTGCATCTATATATCAAATTGTTCATTCAGTCTCTTTGTCCTGAGCGTCTTATCACTGCACCACCAACTAGGTCCGACTCCACCAAGCGGCTTTTCTTTAGTATTTTATTTTATTTTTTTGGTATTTAAAAGCATGGTTTTGCGTTTTATTTTAAT